AAAGGTTTTGCTTAGACAACTTACTGAAAGAAAACTCTCAAGGGAGTTGATGTTTTCTCCTGTGTTAATAAGGAGGGGAAATTGTGGCCTGTTAGGACCGCACATAAGAAGATATTTCTGAAAAATGAACCACCCTGATGAAGTTTAGCTAAATTGAAATGCAACTAATTTGTTTTCCATTTTCTAAGCCTTTGCGTGGAGACAGAGTGGGATTGATATTATTTTTGTTTTAGTTTTGGTAAAATATAGAAAAGCAGCTTTCTTTTGCTAGTAAATTCTGTCCTATCATGATTATGATTTTTATAGCACAAATAAGATCAGAAGGACTGACTTTGCACAGCCATCTTTAGCTTTCATTCAGAGTTGACATACATGCAGTGCATAGAATTTTAGGTGTACCCAAAGCATTAATGTTTCATTTTATACAGCATCGGTGCATAATAACAAGGAGGAGTAACTCTGGTAGGTCTAATGCTTGGATGGCTCTTCCCTTTCCCTGTTCTCATGCTTATGGTTTTGGGTTTAATATCCATTGCTCCAGCAGGTCAGTGTCCATGAATAGAAATCAAAGATAAAGCTTTAGATACGAATCTTTATGATGGCTTTGCTCGTAATAGAATATCAACCTTCATTAACCACTTTTAGACAATTTTAAATTATCTTTTCTTCTCACTAATTTGAAGCCTTTTTATCTTCTTCTTTTATTGATGTTTCACAAATGGTTTTTATTTTTTCTATTTTTGCTAATTTTAAGGTTAAATGTGATTTCTTGGTAATGTTACATAAATTTACGATAATAAAACTGATTAGTGGTGTTTTCTTAATTTTTCTGACAGTTTAAGGCACGAGATGTTTAATGTACATCATAAATATATGCAGGTTACTGTCTGAAAGACTACAGCTAACTGAACGTTTTAAATAGTGTATAAAACATCAAGAACTGTTAGGATATAAACAGTGCTGAGGCATATTCCTGGAAGTCATTGTTCAGCTTTGGAAGATTTAGTAGTAATGATGCATTAATTGACTTTTTACATGACAGAGTAATAGGATACTTAGATAAAAAAAAAAAAATCTTGACAGAGGTTTGGTAGAAAATGGCATGTATGGTTTATAGAAACGAGATTAGGTTGAAATTGTTTGAATCTTATTTGAGGGATAAGAGAAAGTAGGAGGAGGCTGTACATTATAAGTGGCTTTGATTTTTTTTAAAAATCATATTTGTAGTTTAAGGAGAAATGTCTGTTTCTGTTTTTATTAAGAAACGACTGTTCCTTAGCATTAGGAGGGGTTTCGTCTTTGCACTGTGCCTTTTTTACTCCCAATTCCTCCTTGAAAGGAAATTTAATAGTCTTTTTCTGATTTTGTTTCTTCTTTTTGTTTTGCATTGTGAAAAGCTTTTCCTGAGCTTCATTTTGTGGGTCATTATAGAGTTCGAAGGAAGAGTGTTAACTGTAAACGTTTATGCGTCTGAGTATCCTTTGGCTCGAGTTTGATTTAGGAGCAATGTTTTCTTGGGATTAGTTTCACCATGTTTGATTATTTATTCCTTCTATCCTTAGCTGATTGTGGTTTGCTAAGTATTTCAATTTTCATTAATGTGTTTTTAAATGGAAGATTGTTTTTAATTTGGATCACAACAGTAAAATCTTTTGACTTGGTTTTCAAAATTGCATTTAAAGATTGAGCTTTTGAAAATAATTGTATTTGATGTGAAAATGATTGCATATCAGTTGTAGAATGAGAAAAATAAATTTGATATTCTTTTTACTTACAGCAGAGGGAGATGGACAGACTTCAGCTTTATTTGCATAAAAGAAGCAATGATTTTATTACATTCCAGAACCAGTGCTGTTTGTTAGAAATCATTTATACTGTCTCATAATTGACTAGAACATACTTTTAAAATTGTTTCACATTTAAACCTTAAGAATATACTGAAATTTTACTGTAGTCAAAATCTGTTCATAAAATACTCTGGCCTGGCCAGAGACCACAAAAAAGATCCTGGTTGTGCGGTTTCCTCCTTCTTTTCCTCTCACTAACAGAGGTTTTCCTATCTTGGCAGCTGTTTCCTACAAGGCAGTCATCGGTCCCTGATTTCTTCCTTCCCTTTCTTCCCACAAACAAGGACTCTTTCAAAGAGCGGATGACTGAAGACAGACTGGTCTTGGATCGCTTTAAGAAAGTGGAAATGTGTTCAAGAGTTGTGCATGTGGGCAAGCGGCCTGTATGCAATTAGTTATTGAAATGAAAGTACTCATTACAACTCAAACGTGGACAGTCAGAATTCTTTGCTTGAATCTCAGGCATTCTAAAGGCTCACTTATTTTTATTTGTAGTAATGAATATACCTCATTCACACATTAAAATTATTCTAATTTCTTCCCAGATCATTGAACAGTCTATAGGTTATAAGAAATTGTTGATTGATGAACCTTTTCAATGTGACAGGCCATGACATTATCTGACTTCTCTCTCTTTATACTTTCCATAAAATAGCTTGCAGTCTTAAGGCAGGGCCTTTGCCACAGCAGTTGTAAACTGCATGTTTACTTTTGGTTTTGTCTTTTGAATAGTGTTTGGAAAGTTCATAGTGAAAAATGAATAGAGACAGTTAGCCAGTTTTGCAGGGTTGTGTGCCATGTGTCTCTATCACATTAATTTTTGATGTATTATTTTTTAAAAATATATTTTGCATTCAGAAGAGGAAGCTTGTTCTCCCCTTTGTTTTTGTCCTATTTCTTTGGACAGAGAAGCATCTGAAATGTTCTCAGAACTGGGTAATATCAATTTGACTCTCCTAATCATGATACCTTGTTGTCTTCAGAGGTTCCAGAGAGAGCTGAAAAAATTGGGCTGTTGTTGTCAATGGCCATGCCACCCTGAACAGCCTGATCCTGTTCCAATCTCAGAAGTTAAGGAGGGTTGGGCCTGGTTAGTACTTGGATGGGAGACCACATAGAAGAACGGGTGCTATAGGCGTAAAAAATAAAAAAATAAGGAATTGTGAGCTGACAAGGTCCTTGTAATCTGTGAAGTCAACCAAGGGGGTTGCCTTGCCTAAAAAAAAAAAATCAGGCTGATGTTGGGTTATGGGGAAGCATTTTTATCTCTGAAACTATAGGCATAATGAAACAAACTTCTTACTACAGAAACATCTTGCTAGTTTCATCTGTGATTTTATGATCTTTAAACACTAGCTAATAGCTTCCGATTAATTTCTTACATTCTTTTCGGTGTGTTTGTTGGTTCAGAAAGATAGTGACTTTATAGTGTGGTAAGTGTTCCAAACCATTTAGAATCTGACCGCTTATCCATTGAAATTACATTATCGGGAACTGGTAATAAAATATAGTGAACTTCTAATAGACTTACATGTGATACATGAAGCATGTAGCAAATGCAGAGTAACTCAGATAATGTAAAATAGATAACTCAGTGTTATCTAGGAATTTTTTTTCCCTAAACTTTATGCTTCAGTGACAGCATCTAAATTATTTGAGGTTTGTTTTTTTTTTTTTTTTTGAATTACAGACACAACCTCAGAATGGAGTTTATTTCCCTCACTGCTCCACTTTCAAAAACTTTTATTTGCAGCAGGTCAGGAAGCTTAAGAAAACTTGGCAAGATAATTACTTAGAAGAAAATAATAGGAAATTAATATAAAGAAAGGGTTAAAATGTCCCTTAAAAGAAAAAAAGAAATATGTAATTTCTTGGCTCTTAGAAGCTAGACAAGGAGGCTAGATATATTTGGGAACTGCCTGCATTTTTTGTGTATTATAAGTCTCTTATTTACTCTGATTCCTCATGTTACCCTAGAAAGAAGTAAAAACACTTCTGTAGAACCCAACAAGTGAACTGGTCTCATGTGATTCTAGGAAATGAGAAGTACTGACTGAGTCACATTCCTGAAGTTTTTGTATCCTCTCCAGTTGTAGAACTGGATTCTTAAGGGCGTGTCAAAATTAGACTTGGCTCTAGGTTTTATGTTCTTTGCCATTCCTCCCCCAGTTTCTTTTTTTTTTCTTTTTTCTTTTTTAAATAGAGATGTAACCTTGGAGATAAAATCATCATGTTCTGGAGTTTTTACTTGTGTCCAGTTAATGGACCAACCTACTCACAGATGTAGATTTGATCTTAGAATGTTATACCTTGCTATAAGAAAAAACAGTATACGAAAATCTTAAATTTTAAAATGAAGTAATTCAGAGACTTGACTATTATTAACCATTTCATTATATCTCAACTGTATCTTGCAAGACAACAGGATAAAATAGTAGGTAATACTGCTGTTATTACTAGAAACAAACCAAAAAAAGTAAGTATTTATAAAATTCTGTTAGAGGTATTAGGTATTAAAGCTAGTACAGGTGACCCTTAAACAATGTAGAGGTTGGGGCACCAACCCCCACACAGTTGAAAAATCTGCAAATAACTTTGACTGCCCCCCAAACTTAAAGTTGTCCATCGATATCTGTGGGGATTGGTTTCAGGAGCCCCGTGGATGCCAAAATCACAGAGACTCAGGTCCCTTCTATAAATTGGAGTAGATCAGTGCATACAGTTGGCCTTTTGCTTCCGTGGACTCCCAACAGTGGATCAAAATTAGTGCAGGTATTTATTGATATTAAGTAGACTCTCACATTTCAAACCTGTGTTGTTCAAGAGTCAACTATGCTTTGATAAACTAACATGGCATATTGAGCAACAGATGTATTATTCTAGAATGACTTTGTAAGCTTTTCAAAGAAAAATTCATCATTAGGAATTTATATAATTATGTAAATTCTTATGTTCTAGTTGTCTGTAAGTGTTTTTTGGGCTCTGATATGGGGCTCATATCCAGTGTATAGATGAAAAAAATATATACCTTTTTAAAAAAAAAAATATTTAGAAGAGTGAGGGAATGAAGGGAAGGAAAGAGAATTATTATTTTTGTAGATTTTATAATGCAGCATGACCATAGAGTAAATGATGGATTTGTTTGTTTTTCAGATATGAAGATCAATGATGCAGATTGCTGGGTTCGATGAAGCTGGGCATATATAACTAGATTCATTAAGGAATACAAAGAAAATATTTAACAGGATCAATAATGGTGTCTTCTGGTTGCAGAATGCGAAGTCTGTGGTTTATCATTATAATCAGCTTCTTACCGAATACAGAAGGTAAGATGCAATTTAAATTTTATTTTTTATATCCAGGAGAACTTAAACTATGTGATCTCATTTATATAGAAGTGGCTAGAATTAGCTAGAATAATGCCAACTGTTTAGAAATATGTGTTAAAAAGATTTTCTGAGTGTTGAATTCTGTTTTTGGTAATTGAATTATTTTCATTACACAGCTGTAACAAAGTGCTAGAAGTCTGAACTTACATTTTACATAAATTTATAAATATAATCATTGTAAATAATCCTGAGAGAAGTAAATGAAAGCTTTCTTTTGATATATATTTTATATTTATTGACTAAATTTATTCTAGTAAAATTGAAACTATTTTGTGGCAACTCTTTTACTTCAGTTTTAGTTTTGTCTACTTCTTAAGGGTGGTCATAGTTCAAAAAATACAAATTATTGCATATTCTGGAAGATCTTATTTTTTATAGTGCTTATCTGTACCTTTTTGAAGATAGATCTGGTTTTTAAAGAATTAAAAAGATGTAATAAAATAATTTGTACCATCATTTATTAATTACTGTATGGATTTCCTGGTATTCATTATTTCTTTAGTCTTACATGTTATTTCCATGTGAAAATAACACCCTTCCACGTGCTTTTTACAGAGTAGGTTAAAATTAATATGGAGCTAAGATGTCTTACTATTATAGTTGATAGTGGTAGCTGTTCTATTTGACATGAAAATACATTAACTTGTAAAATCTGTAAAGAATATAAAATGTGAGAAATGCATATAAAACAAAATGGATATTTTGGTCTCAATTAAATATTCTTGAAGAAAGCATTTTAGAATTTTAAAATTGGTTTTATGTGTATTTTTAAGTGATCACGTTTATACCTATTAATGAAATGCTAGGTAGAGAGAGGCCTACTGTCAGCTAATAGATAGAAGCAAGCTTATTATTCCAATGTATTTGTGATAAGTTTCATAATGTTAACATTTTAATTTTGCCCAAAGAATTTTGTTTGAATTGCTCGGTCCAAAATTGTTTCATTATTTTCTCCTCGCCCTCCCAGTTCTCTACTTTCAATATGTTGATATAACTCAATAATGTTATTCAAAAAAATAACAAATTTAGGAATATTTTAAAATAAGTATTTCTATATTCAGAAAAGTAAATAATCACTTGGATTGAAGTCACGTGAAAGTTATAAATAGGTTAATGTTTTATTTTTAGAAAATGTTGCTCTTTGCATCAGAATTAAGATACATCAAATCTAACATTAAAATGTAATATGTCTGAATGAATATAGTATCCTAATGATACTATTGGATTGTTATGAAAATCTTGTGTGTAGTCTGTAATTTTGCATCTGTTTTTTTGGGAGGA